CACAATAATTGGAGTTGATTCAAATTTATTTAGATAGATCCAAACTTCCATGATATTGGTGTTTTGAACTGGAAGTCTATTACCATACATATGTATACATAATATGTATTCCGTAGAAGTGCTGCATTGCCAGCAATGAAAAAAAATATCTATTGTAAACATTTAAGTGATAAAACGCGTTCGTATTTTTTCACACACACGCATACCTACCTATATGTACTTTTAGTTTCAGTTAACATAAATTTTAAATTCAGATTTTTTCTTTCTTTCAATACAATGCCTTGTATTTTATGTACGTAGCTATTACGTTTATATCACTGTTGTATAACATTTTATTTTATGTACAAATTAAATTAAATAAAAATAAAAAAATGTTGATTCAAGTGCAATTTAGTTTATATCCTTATGTTATGAATTTCATTACTAACATTTTTTCTATATGATAAATGAAATAACGGTTAAAGGCTTTTAAAATAAAAGTGGAAAAAATAAAATAAACAATTTAGTAAAAAAATGAATGCAAATATTAGAGACAAACAAAAAATAAAAACAGCGTATAAAACATCTTAAGTGATTTTATGAAAACATGAAAAAAAAATAAATTCTATGTGATAGAAAAACAATTTAATAACCTTTTTAGGACATCGATTTTTTAAGCGCTTTCATGACCCCTTCAGCTGTAATAAATGAATCGTTTATCGTTAAAAAAAAATATATAAAATTTTAAACATGTTTTATTTTAATTTATTGTGATTATTTAATAATATTTTTTAGCACATAACTTAGATGATTTATCTAAACTGTTTGCAAATGGAAATAGAAATTCTAAATAAAAAAAAAATTATTCAATTTATTTAATGTCTAAGGTATACATGATTTCTTTCAATAAAGTTCCTGAGAAATAATAATTTATGCAATCTGTCTGTTAATAAAATATAATGTGTCTGAATTAATCAGCTTCAGAAATGCGATGTAAAAATGAATGTATGACAGTAGCACTTTCACTAAATACGAAATGATGTTTTCATTCGTGGGTTACGAAACCACATTCTTGAATGATCGATATGATGCAAGTTATTATGGGAAAAATTATGGTGGACAGATGAATTTTTCTTTTTTGATTTAATTCACATGTACTTATTACATAAGAATATACATAATGTTAAACTTTTAATAAGACTTTTCAAAAAATTGAAAAGTAAATAATTAAAAAAAAAAAATTTAAAAAACAGTATGGATAATTCAATATTATTTGTAGAATTCTAAAAATTCTCACAGAATGCGTAAAAGTGGTTTAAGTCATTTCGGTCAAATTCATCGATTAAATTGAATGAATTTGACTTTAATTGAAGCGAATCAAAAATTTTAGTTTAAAAGCCCAAAAGGTTTACTTGTTACAATGACCGAACTTAATTTTTTCTAGCTTTGTTACATTCCATTTTCATAATAGCTGGAAGTCAACATAAGCATTGACATAAAATATCAACAATTTCAATAATCCACATATTTTTCTAATAAGAGAATGACTGTAAAATATGTACATACGTATATGTATATACAACAAGTAAGTTTTTATATTTTGCAAGATTATATAAATTATTTGTCATAAAATATGCACATAGTTCAAATCGATTTCTTTTATGAAATTTCAATTATTAAGATTCTTGTTGCAGTATAATTCATAATTGAATTTCAGTATACCATTGTGTTCTTTATTTTTCATATATATACCTATAGAGAATTTTTATTTCATTAGAAAAAAAAATTATATACTATTCACCAAAACTAAATGTCGTCACTCATACAGCCATATAACATATTTTCTATTTAATAAAGTAGGTATAAGATTGAAATATTGTTTAACTGTAATACAATGTTGCCGAAGAACTATAATTCTAGTATGTCTGTGGTAATCAGAACAAATATACTGCAGCGTTTCAAAATTGATAAAAACTTTTTATTTTGGAACGCACACCCTTAGTACTGTTTAATTTCTTTTATAACGGTATGCTTGCATTATCGCACGCAAGTGACTCATGATAAATGTTTGATACGCTCGCTCATCATTTTATACGTACACAATATGTATATATCAATATGAAGTTACTGTCATATTGTGTAATTTTATTATAAAATTTATTTTTAAATAAAATTTTTGAATACACGAAATGTAAATTTTTTTGAATTTTTAATAAAGTTGTCTGTACCTTTAATTTATATGGTTGTGAGAAAACTACTTTTACATTATTACCATTTTGCGTTATTTGCGGCCAGGCCCGGCTCGACCGTGGATGCAGAAGATGCACGGCATCGGGGCGCCACTCTGAAAGGGTCTGAATGGGCGCTAAAATCGAAAAGTGATTTTCCACTTAATTGTTTTTTGTAATTTTTTTTTTTTTAAATCAAGTTTCCAATCCAAATTTTTTTTAAAAAAATTTTTGCTTAGCTCAAATTAAAAAAACACAAAAAAAAATGTAGTCGTAGTAGGCTTTTTTTTAAAAAAATTTTTTTTCGTTAAAAGCTTTTTGGTTTATAGACAGGCATTTTTCATTTTCGTTGCGATATTTTCAGTAAGAAAAAATAGTATTTTATTTAATTTAAATAAAATATAATTTATTTTGTGAAATATTTAATTTTAATTAGACATTAAAGTGTAAGAAAAAAGTGTAATTTGTTGGATAATACCATTTTTGTGAGTATAGTGATTTTTATCAATTTTATATAGATTTCAAATTATCAAAATTTTGCAGCATCATTAGATAGACATAAACTCTTCTGAGTTATATAATGAACTTTTTATATTTAAAGATACCATAACGCCGCAACTAAACAATTATGATCCCTTAAAGATTTTAAATTTTATGTATACAAATGATTTATTTGGGATATTTCCAAATTTAACAATAGCTTTGCGGATACTATTAACTCTACCAGTTTCTGTAGCAAGTGGCGAAAGGTCATTTTCTAAACTTAAATTAATTAAGACATATTTCTATCAAATATTTCTCAAGAGAGATTAGTTGGGTTAGCAATGATTGCTATTGAAAGCGATATCTGAGATGAACTAAAAATTAATGATATTTTGGATGAATTTGCTGCGATAAAAGCAAGAAAAATAAATTTTTAAGCTAACTATCGTGCAATTGATTTTATGTGTAATTGATATCAGTTACAAATAAATGTTTAATATTATATATTATACAATAATCAATATACTGTTTAATTAGCATTTGATTTTTTTGATATATTTTTTGATAAAGGGCGCTAAATAGAAACTTGCATCGGGGTTCTAGTACCGCTAGAGCCGCTGCTGTTTGCGGCAGCGTAAAACGGCAACTCTGACTGCACATTATTATATGTATTTGTCTATATAAGAGTATGTATTATGATTTTTTAAGTTTAACTAACAGAATCGCTACCTACTTACTTGCATGACGCTTCTAACTTTTGTCCTACTATACTGTACAATTTTTTTTATTGTCTTTTATTCTCATTTCTTTACATATTTTTTTTCTACAAATTTGTTTCTCTTATTTTAATACAAAAAAAAAAATTTTACAAAAACATACAATCATAACTGAAAATGTTGCCAGAAGGCATGCAGTAAAAAAAAAAATTTTTTTTATCTAAAATATAATAAAAAAAGCTATGAATATTTTCAATGCCCACGGAAAATTTTTTCCTCTTTTGTTCTTGATTCTGGATGATATAACAATAAAGAAACACTTCTGTCAAGGTAAATCAACATAACACAAAAAAAAACAGAAGAAAAACAGGCAAAATTAAATAAATAAAATAAAATAGAATAAAAAAATATCAAAAATTTTGTTTTACCTTTTGAAAAAAGCAAAATATTTGATAAAAGTAGATACCAGAGGGCTTAAGGAACGTCACTATTGTTATAATGGCTGTTAATATCAAGGAAAATCTTAAACTTATCAAAAAAAAGCAAAAAATTACTTATGGAAATATTTCTTATTTTCATTATAACTAATGAGAAGATAATTTTATATAAAATTTTCTTTAACTGTTACAGATAACTATGTTAAAGATAAGAATTTCTTTAGTTGAAATTACAAGAATTGTTATTTAAAATTTTCTATAGTTATATAGTATACAGTTCTTAAGAGCATAATTTACATATATAAGTATACAAATACATAATAAGGCACGTTTTATCTAATAGTTTTTTTTTTCGATATTATGAAATTATGTTCGTACAGTGTACATATGTATTCGTGCCGGTTGGTTAACAATAAATATCCCTTTATAAATTATTCATATTATTATATAACACTTATATGCAGAAGAAACAACTATTTTTTATCATATTTTGTAGGTAGTACCCTACCTACATAATATGTTCATGTCTTATTTAAACAATTTGTTGTTCTCTCGTTTTTCAACTCATTCACTTATTTTTGCCAAAATATGCGATTTTGCTAACTCTTCTTACACAAGTAATATAATATAATTTTTGTCAAAGGAATGAGATTGCTTAGGTTACGAAAAGTGTATTTGTTGAAATTTACGCCACATAATCATTATTTTGAACTCACAAAAATCTCTAATATCTTGAATGTTTATTCGTAAGAAGTATTTAAATTAAATGTCTTATGTTCCTGTTACACATCAGGTTTAATTTACAATTAAATCTTAATCTGATGAAAATTTGATATGTAACCAAAGTCTAACATTAGATAAAATAAAAATAAAACAAAATAGAAAAATGTTCGATTACCATTAGATTTATAATTTGTGAAATAATATTTTATTGCAATTTAAAATTTTGAATGTGGTAATACTATTTATTAATCTTAACACAATAATGTGATTAAAATCGATTACATATGATAATATTTTAAGTTTTAACATATCATTATTAATTTTGAGAAATACATACAAACATACACATATTCATTTGTTATATTAATATTAAATTTGCAGAAATGAAACACATTCATGTACGTGTATGTAATATGCATGGATATGTAATTATATTAAGCCGGTTTCAAAAATATCACATACATAGCTATTGAATATTATTAAATTATTAATTAAAAGAGGTGCGTGCATTAAAATTTAATAAAATAAAAATTCAAAGTAAATTTAAGAGATTTTGAATTAAAAAAAAAAAAAAAATACCAGACAATAAAACAAAATATTTCGGAAGGTAAGTGGACAAATTTTCTTAAATTTTCAATTATAAGCAATTTAAAAACACGTGTTATCAAGACATTCAAATTATTATAAATCATTTTTAAAATTTAGAAATATTTAGTGATTTATTAAAAAAAAAAATAATTTTAAAAGGGTTATTGTCTAGCTATTTTGAATTAAAATTTTTGTGAACAAATCAAAAGTGTTTTGATTGCAATCATTCTTCACTAATTATTTTAATTTTTGGCCTCATTTAAATGTAGTGTTGTGGAAGAAATTAAAAATAAAACTGTTCTTAAAAATTTATTAAAAAAAATATTTTAATTAGATTTTATTTTTAATTTTATAGCATTATTGTATCAAATAGGTAGAATATTCGAATTAAAATTTTTAAGACTTTTTAATTGAAAATGCAGTAAAAGTTGATTTTTATTGAAAAGTAAAAATTTTACGTTGCTGTTTTATTATTTTATTGCTGCAGAAATTACAAAAACTACAGTGATAAGTGATAAAAATTTAGAGTGTTAAACTGAAATAAATTTAATTGTAAATTTTCTTAATATTGCGAAACAAATGAGATATACTGATTACACATTCTTATAGATTCCATTAGAAAACTTGGATAGTTTAAATATCAAAACATATAGTGTTGATTTTTAAGTACAAGATAGTTATTGCCTTACGATTAATTTTTTTTTCAAAAACTATTAAAAACCAGAATTACTTTATTTATTGCAAATAAAACTCACTTCAAATTTAATTGGTTTATATTTTAATTACGTTAATTGAAAATGAGAACAGCTCTCAGGTACCTTTGCTTTCTGTAAACTAAACAGTAATCAATAAAGTAGTCATGGGTATTCAGTATAAAAAATGATTATTAAGCGAATTGTGGTTTACTTTAGTTCTCAAAATAGTATTTTTTATATTAATAACTATTCTTAATATTAAAAAAATTTCCTTAATTATTAATTGTACAAAATAGAACGCACCAAAATATTTTTCTCTTTTATTTTGTTGTATAGTTTTTGGTTTGAGTCCAAAATATTAATTAAAACTTCAATAAAAGGTCAGACAAAAGTGTTTACTTTACAAAAAAACAAAAAATTTAATTTTTTTTTTCTTCCTTTCGTTTTAAAATTTAATTTTCAGAAAATTTTTTACGAGTTATTTTATTAGTATGAGAGGTGGTTTACCACAAAGCTTTCAATAACATTTTGAAAAAAAAAATGATTCATGTATAAAAAGATTCTTTCTTATCCTACTTGAAAGCTGCTAAACTTTTCTTTTTAAAATCCTATTTTTTTTTTAAAGAAAAATTAAGTAAAATATTTTTTTTTTATAATACTGTAACATCAGTAAAATAATATTTATAAAAGGGAAAAAAGAACCATAATTTGGAAAATATATATGATCTGCATAAGTCTATTTGTAAAGGTAGTAAGTGAATGTGTGTTGCTCTTTGAATTTTAAACAAAAATATATTTTTTATAAAGTGCACACTGCTATGCGATTAAGAACGTTCTCGATACGATATTCCTAAATACTTTTGTAGTTTGAAATGTAAATTATTTGTTCTTTTTTTAGAATAACACTTACTATAAATAAAAGTTTTATTATAAACAATAAGCGGATGAAAACTTCTGTACAAATAGCATTTAAAACAAGAATAATAAATGGAAGAGCAACTAATATGATTTAATTATTTAATATACGTATGAAAAACCAAAAAGGTTTGAAAAATTAAAATTAAAATTTAATTTTTCTTGAAAATTCAACAAAATCACTTTGGAAGCTGCGTTTGAAGCTCACACATTTTTAATCACACTTTCAATTACATAACTGTATAATTTACTATATTGCAGTATATTGCAGTTTTAGGGTTAATTAGATTGCAATATTAAATGTACAATCCATTCAACGAGTGTGCCTCATAGTGGAATGAAAGACAATATAAAATTTTCTATCATTTTCGTTAATAAAAGAAAATTCTTCTAAAAATTCTTTTTTCCTTTCTTAATTTTTTCTTTGATTTTTCAATGTTTTTCTTGTTAATTCTTAGTACTCTTGACACTGACTCTCTTTTTATTTCGTTTTCTTTTATTTTTGGTGTTGTTTCCTTTTTTTTTGTTACCGATCTCCATTTCTCCATTAAAATGAAAAAAAAATTATGTTATCCTTTTTTTTTTTCTTTTTTTTTTGTACGTATTTCTGTGTGTAATTACTTAAAAAAAATTGTATAAGTTTGTATATAAATGTTTTTTTTTTCTGCGGTAGTACTTGTCTTATACAACTGCAAGTACCTTGGCATAGTTCTATTTTCTTTTGCACTTTGCAAAAAAAAAAAATACAAAAAAAATTGCTTTTCTTTCTACAATTTTGGTTTTTCTTTTTTCTTTTTTGACTTTTTTTTTCATTCTTTTAACATTTTAACGCTATAATGTATGTATGTGGGAAATTGCTACATAACTTAAAACTATGTAGATGTTACCTTGTTATGTACTTAATTGAGAATTGGGAACATGATGCGTTTCACTCATGATTATGTAAAACAAAATTTATAGAAAAATGTCTTTACTTAATAGTAATTAAGAGAACAGGTGAAGCAAAGTATGTGTTCAGCTACATACTATATGATATGTACAATGTATGTAAAAAAAAATATTTATAAATAAGTTCATATTGAAGGTTGTACATGTGCAATGCATGTGAATATTATATTCATGTATACAGTATGAAACAAAGATGCCCTGTTTCGATGCATATAAAACTCATCAATATTCTGAGACTCTGTCGTTTCCAGGAAAACATGTAATAATCTCTTGATAAACTTGGATATTTTACTTTAATCATGTTAAGAATAAAAAATTATATTATTGTTGTTTTTCTGCCTTTTATTTTGTAATAATATTCTTTGACTGAAATTTTTCAGATCTTTTAACTGATTCTTTTGTTATACCGGAGAATTAAGATGTAAATGTCGTCTTTCCTAACTTTTGAGTATTTTTAAAACTGTTCCATTTTGAAAAATGTACTCAAACTTCAAAAAAAGAGAAAATTTAAAAATTTATAAAATGAAAGAGTAGTTTACAGTTAGAAAACCTTTTTTTTTAATACAGGTATTAAAAATCATCGAAAGACAAAGATAGGCGGACCCAAGCAGTAAACAGACCTATTAATAGTGAGGGACTTTAGCCCAACTTAAAACGCACTTGGACAGTCATAAACTGCCAAAACTGTAGTTGAACTAACTAACCATTAGTCTGTATTCCATGATTCGTGAAGGAAGGCAGATTATAATGCTGTCATAACACTTTGGGCTAAATATAGAGGTCTCGTTCGCTTTAGTTTTTTTGTGTTCAAAATCTCTCCCCTATAAGTCAAGAAGCCTCGACATTTACATGCTGTTCCAAACGTGTACTATAACCGTGCTTCGACATACTTTAAATTAACTTAAACTGAAAAAGTCGTATTGTTAAAGATATTGTTAATTTCGAAGTTTTTTTTCATAAATTTTTTCAAGAAGAATAATTCTATTATTTTGCGTTCCCTAAAGATAATGCGCAAGAGGTTACTTGACTTTATTTTTTTTCTATCGCTAAAAATTAAATTTCTTTAACTCTTAATTTAATACATATTTTTTTTTTTCAAATTTATGATTATAAATAGTGATTTAATTGTGACTTTTAAAAAATATGTAAAAAGTTTATCATATTTTAAGTTAGTTAACAAAGAAAATTCTTATACTCGTATAACCTTTTTATTATTTTTTAATTCAAATATTAAAAAATTTTTTTAAATAAAAATTTTAAAAACGGCCTTTATAAAGGATACCTCTTAGGTGCCAAAATTCAATTTTGAAATTATTAAATTTTATAAAATTTAAAAGATCTACACTTTTAGTATTTAAGTGTGTGTATACTCGCACCAGTTGATTAATAATTTACAGCAATATAGACTGATCTTCTCTTGTAATGTTTGCATAGATTAAATTTACAGTTTTCGACGTTTGTATAAAATTTAGTTTTAAATATTGCATAATATAAATGATGGTAAATCCATGAATTTAAAATAATATGATTCGAAGTAAATTTGAAAATTTCTGTATGAATTTTTGTCTCAGATTACATACAATTTCGCAATTTACTTAAAATGGTGTATAGACAGGCGCGGTTCTGATGTATTCGTCGCCCTAAGCGGTTCCTAAAAAGTGCGCCCCCCCCCCCCCCCTTCAACCTTTTCACCTATTTTATTACTGTGAACAAAATTTAATAGGCATTGCACATTGTGCATCATAAAGCAGTTTCTTGTAACCTTATTGTGCTGAATTATAGAATTAAAGTCTGGAACTAAATTTTCAATTTTTTGTTTTATAAATTCAAAAACAAGGTAATTTATTTAACTGTACGTTTTTTTATGAAGTTATGATCAGATTTATATCAATCATTTAAACTTGATTTTTTGATTTTAACAACCAAAAAATTTACTTTTTGACGTAAGTGAAACTTATTGTAAAAGGTTCTATGAAAATTATATCAAATGAACTTTTTCACAGCTTATTTGAATATGAAAAAAAGTAAAAAATTAAGTTTTATTTTTATTCGTAATTTTATTTTTATTTTTATAATTATTTTTATTTTTATTCGTAAAATTTGGCTTTTTATTTCACAAATCGCCTGAGAAATGAAGCAGCGTATAAAAAAAGTTTCGACTTGCATTCAAAAATTTAAGGAAAATCAAAGTTTCGTTCTAAAATTTGTGACTTAAAAACTAAGCTTTTCATGTACATAGCTATAAGCTTTTATACTGTTCATTATATTTTTTAGATTTTATTAAAATAAATGCATTTACTGGTATTTATAGGCTCGTGGTTTTGAAATTTCAGAATGTCGTTTTGCTTAACTGTTTTAATTTTGGAGATAAATGTGTGAAGCAAATTATGCGCCATTTAATTTTACTCTTATTTTTTGGATGACTTACACTACATCAATTCAGCATAAAAATTCTTAACAT